CGCGCTCGCTTTGCTCGCACGCATAATATCATTAATAATCGACAAATTATTGCACTTGTTGATTGATGAATGCAGTACAATGTCAAATATTATCAATTACCACGGAGAAAATGATAACGAGAGATCGATAATACTCAATTCCTTTACTATCAAAAGAGTACTCAAGAAAAATATAATATTGGAGGCGATATGAATAAACTCAAAAGTGTTTGGGTATTTGAATTGAGATTGATGAATATGAAACATTTTTTTCTGTATCAAGAATCTCAAATGACTGTATCAGACGAATATAATTGGAATTTGTTTTTCTGTATGGGATAATACTCGGGATAATATACAGATTACATTTCTTGAGCAGCTAACATGGCTGGGGCATACGGTCGTGTTGGACAGTTGTGCTGAAAAGCAGTTTTGAAGTTGACATCTAACGACATGACATACAAGACATGCCATATGTGAGAGAAATTGTCAAAAATTGCACTGATGGTCTTATGAGGACCTGTCTAACAACTCACTCAGTAATCTGGATGATATAATACAACAAGTCATCAACGGGTGAATACACAATCACAAGTTGAAGACATTTATCTGTTTGACAAAGTTTTCAACAAGAACGGTTTGGGAATTCATATAGTTACAACAAATATATTCTCAGATATCTTTGTGGAACCTCTGGCCTTCACTTGCGAATGAAGTGAAAGTCTGATATGAACTTCATCGACCTTCGCTACTGAACAATCGAGGAACCACCCAGACTCTGAAATAGGAGAGGAAGTCCATCAGTGTAATCAGTGCTATTGAAAAACTGCTTGGGAAGATATTGTTCACATTGCTGTTTTGGATATCTAATCAAATCATCATAAAGAAGGGGAGAAATTCTTGACTAAATGGATTCGGCCGCAATTATTCCGAAATGTTCAGTTAACTACTCTAGAGTTATTTAGGAAATGAAATCTGATAAATTAGGTACAGTCGTATTGAAAAAAAAAGCGTACAAGTATATTACAGAGAGAAATTAACGTCATCCTAATCTGCATAAAACGGGCCATCGGGAATGTTTGTCCGCCAAATGTTGACAGTAAAGTTGTCATAGGTTCTCGTTCTCGAAAACACAAAGCATTGGCTGAGCCAGTTTCACACAACTAGAACTAGGATTCCGAAATCCACTCTTTTCAATACTTGAACGCTTTTTTATTGAATACGACTGTACATCACTAATCTTCAGTAGGAGTCCATGGTTTGTCAAAGTTAGATAAACTAGAGTCCCTGTATGTACCTTAGACAAGAGTCCGGACACAGCTATATTCCTGTCTTTTTCTGTTTTCAAAAAATGCATTAATGATTGAATAAAGGAATAAGACATATATTTCGAGCTCTGCACGTCTTTTCAATTCCCCGAGTATCAATGATTGTCAGAAACAATTTTGAGGGTTAGATTATTTGTCAAACCGTTCATGGCCGTATAGGTGAAAGTGAGAAATAGGGCTATTTTAACTAGAATAACTACTAGATTTTCAAATAATGAACAACAGGGTGTTCAAATTTCGAATCGATAATTTTCATAATCAATTCCTGAGATGGCTTTTGCAAATTTTCGTCATCCTTCACTTCACTAGATATAAGAAAGATAATTCAAGTGTTCTACGTGGTATCACATATAGCCAAGAAAATGTAGTTGTTTTCTGTTGGGATATAAAAAAATAGAAGATATATAATTGTTTTAATATAATTCTCTCCGATTCGCTCAATTCAATAACACTCAATGTCCTAGTAATTCTCTATTCTCATTTTCAAGTAATGAAGAGATTCTACCAATATTCCTGGATAGAAATGTGTCCTATTTTCCTCGATAGTGATTGTAGGAAATGTAAATTTTAATTTCAACAGGTGTTCATATCCAGTGGTACCTCAAGAGAATTTGATAGCGAGTGCTTTGTTAATTGTGTCGGTTTCCCACCTCTTCCTGTATTCTACACTCACCTGTAAATTTTGAATTTTATCTGAATTAAAAACACCGTGGACTGATGACATATAGCACTTTGCAATTTATCTTAATCTTCTAGTTTGGAATTCCAACTTTCAGTTTCTTTCCGCATCATCTCATTCTCATTTTCTTTCTCTGCGATCATATCATTCAGTAATTCCCAATACGATGACGAAGGAACTCTTTTTCTGAACGTCTCTATTTCATAAATTGACGGCACAACAGACTCTATCAATTTGAAAACCATCAGCTTGAAAGAATCAAAATAGGCCTAAAATTCATCTTTTCTGTACTGTTTCTGATTATTTACCCCACATACTTATTGCGGATTTCTTGAAATTAATTTTCCATTCTGGACGTTTCATTGCATTCTTCCATGACATTATCTTTGAAGAATCATTCGGAGAATTGAATAACTTGAATCCCTTTTCTAATGAATTATCGCAATAATGTACGCAGCTGGACATTGAAATAGTTAAAAATGCAAAATTTTGGCGGTCATAAAATTTCAAAGTGACAGTGACAGAAATTCGAAATAATCAAAAATACCGTCGGGACGACTATGGTGTTCCGTCACATTGTCAGGTGGGCAAACCAAATGAAACAAAACATCAAAAACCCCAACGGTTGTCAGTTTTGTGTCCGGACTCTTGTCTAAGGTATATACAGGGACTCTAAGGTGAACAATTGAATACTAAACTCGATACTAAATAATACACAAAGTCATTTCCACGACAAAGTCCCCCTCCTACATAAATCAGGTGTCTATGGAATTTCTTGTTCTGGTATACATTGTAATGTCCAGTACTTGAGTCAATGGGCATGTCAAACTCATAGATAAATCAAAAACCTCCATTTGGATGAATACCACACTAAAAGTTCTTTCGCCAATCACATTCTTAACTAAAACCATATTTTTAACAGTCAGGCAGATATTGAAATTTCACATGTTTGCTTTAAAGAGAAAATATTGAATTTGTTAGAGATTTTTGAAATTATCATCTATTTGAATGACAATAATGTTATTCCACTTCCATTGAATTTTCGAGTTTGTATTATCACAACCTCATTATTATAACCTACATATATCTTCTTCTTCCCCTTTTTCCAATACACTAATGGTTCATCTCCGCTGGGTGGACAATCACTACCATATTGTCTCGTAAAGAGTTTTCACGCTGGGTTGATAGTGACGTCAATATGTCAACACATACAGTGATGCCAGTTGAAAGGAAATGAATAAATGATCAACCGCTCGAATATGGATATGTCTAGTGTTACGACCGTCGGACGTAATAATGTTTTTTGAAACTCAAAAGCCGTCCATTTATGTTTCAAAACCAGCACTCGAAGATGATAAATGAACTTCAATATTTGTGTTTAATGAATTATGAATCTAAACAATATGAAATTTAATGATAATGAAATTCTTTTTCTACCAATACACAATCTTGTCTAGAATCAATTTCTTTTAATGAAACTGATCAGTATTCATATTTACTCAGTGAAAAAAATGAAAACTTCGAATTCAATTTTTAGGTTATCGAATCGTTTTGAATGTTCTTCAATTACTATAAATCGGTGAAATGGAATAGAAATTCGATCAATTGACTTTATTTCTTGGAAAAATAAATAGTGGTATACCTATCTACTTATATTGGAAATCATGAAATAGACAACAAGAGTTGTTCTTACTTCAATATTCTCAATATAATTCATGAGGAAAACCCACAAAAACTCATGAAACCACTATGTCATTACAATAAACTAACACAAATCATATTTGGATCATTCGGACAACACAAAATATCATTATTAATACCATCATTCAACTTACATCTCTCACAGCAGTCATTGGATGTAATGGACCATCTTCTGCGCCTATACGCACTCAATGGTTTAGACAAACAAATCATAAAGTACGAATTGTCAGTAATGAATAATTCGCAGAGATCAGCTGATCACAACAAATCGCTTCTAGAAATGTAAAAAAAAAACAACACTTTCATCCTAATTTCTTTTCTTATTGTTCATTAATATTAATACATATAAGTAGTTATGGGTACTCTATTTCATAATATTATGTCTTCATCATGTGCAATCCATGTACTACTCAACCTGTGTACTATAGTTTGTATAATCATCATGTCTATTCAACTGTTTTTCTATTATTATTAATGTTATTGCTATCATCATTATTATTATTATTATTAGCACTCTTCAGCTTTTCTTCTTTGTTCTTAGCATAGAAAAAAATGTATGTTTTTCCTAATTAGAACAAACAAAACACTTTGATAAAAATCTAGCATCGGTGTACAGTTTTGTCAACTTAAATCGATAATGCGGTTCGCCCATTTCGGAAGTTACTATAGTATTTTTCGATGTGCAGTTTTGGCACGACATTGTTTCCAAGTGTTGCGCAACTATCAACACAGCGTGAAAGCCCTTTACCACTTGTCTTTCTTATTGACTTGTGACGTGTGACACATGCCGTTGCTCTTTCCGCCTAGGTGAGGTGGCATCCAATGTGTTCTGGCACAAGGCAAATTGGATGCCATTTGTTGGTACCCATCATAAAATTGAATGCAATGGTTTTTCGGGGGTTTGTTGGGTTGCTCCATAATTGATTTTCACAATCAAATACCCTTCACTATATTTTTCTATGTGGAAGTTGGTGACATAACCCTTTTTATCTCCAAGCACTCTTAATCTCTTTACTGTTGTTGATTGTACTATAATAACTACTTTAATTATAGGATACTTATGTATTTTCTGATATGAGGCTGATGATGGACATATATATATCCGAAACAGGTAAAAAGAGGTCGTGGAGATGGCTTTGTGTATCATTCAGTATTTAGGTACATCACTGTTATAAGAATGTGTATATCCTCTATCGAATGCAATAATCAATAGGTGTACTAATACAAACCGATAACATCGGAAAGACTTGAACCTCATTCATTCCTAACAATATATTCAACATGAGTATAACAATATTTCTCTTTTGTTTCAGGTGAGTATAAGATGGCAGTTCCGCTACATGAAGAGCATCAAGTCATGATAAGTCTCTTCGACTAGGAATTATCATCTGGTTAGTTTGAATATAAATTAATTGAAATAAAAAAATTATTCAAAAATATAACCTATATATCTATCTCAGTTAGGAATCTTCGTCAACCATGAACGATATATGCGTATAAAATTATATCAAAACTGTGATATTACTCATAATTATGTCATAAACTACTTTATATCTCTGACTAATTTCAAGATAGACGAGATATAACAAACAATATAGCATCACATGAACAATTCTATATTTTATGAAATATAATTTGCAGCCGGAAAATTGTCGCCTCGACTGAGATGAAATGTGTCTATTAATTTTAATGAATGGAGTTAATTTGTTATTTGTTTTGTGTTTCAACTGTGATAAATTTCAGTTCTAATTACTATAGATTTCAGTTCCATTATAGAATAACATTCATATTGGAACAAATGAAATATAATAATGATTGAACTAAATATTCATCAATTTATTCATCTGTCAATTTTGTTATACATCGAATTAAATATAACGAACTAACAGTAAACTGCACAATTGAATTTACAACGCAGTTGCGGATTTGAAAACCAGAATAAATCAGAAATCATTTTGTGGAACTACACATCTTTAATAGTGAATTCCTCATCAATGAGGAAATCGACAGCTCCTTGTCGAATGTTTGATATACTTAGGCATACAATCAGGCATATACAGGGTGTCCGTTATTCGAGCTCCACCATGAAGATCTTATTCTCATGCTGAATATTTATCTGCAAGAAAATTTGATGTGTCATTTTTAGTAATTTAATTATTGGAAGATAACAAAAATTGACATTCTTGAGGCACTTTTTTACAAGGAATCTGAATCTGCCATTGTATTTTCCATGACGTTCTTGATGTCAAAGTTACAACACACAACTTTGTGTTTTCTCATGGGCGCCATACTTATTAGATTTTCACATTTTTGAAAAGTCTTTTTTATTCTGATTACAATGATGTTTCAAACGATATGATCGAATCCTTTCTGTTGATCAAAATTGAGAAAAAAAATTTGCGACGAGTGCTTTGGCATAAACGCTAACAGTTTTGTATAACAAGCTGAATTTCAACAGTTTATCTGAATTTGGATCTGGAACGTTCACATTTTGATCAAGTTCGTCTACTTGAATACTATGGTTTAGAATTAGGAACGATGTCATGAGCTAGACGTTTATTCTTCGCAAAACAAAACAAAATCTAAGCAGAATTCTACGCGTTGCCTCAGATTCTGAATTGCTCGCGAGATGTCCTGTCTTCTTATCTTAGTCCTGAAAGTGGTGATTATGATTCTTCTCAGCTCATTAATATCGATCGGTACAGTTTCTAAAATCAAATATTCTATAGTTTCCAATAAATAATAATCCATCGGAGAGAGATCAGGTGTCCGCGCTGGCCAACGTACACGGAAAAAAAGTTTTGTTGCACCAACAAAATAATTTTGGTCATTTTTTTTGTTATATGAAACACAATTTCGCGAAATCAACAAAATATATGTTCATTTCGAATGAGCAACCTTTTCAAAGAGACAAAATAATTTGCTTTTGGGTGTATGATAAATTGACATTCATCATACAGGGCGTGGAAAGAAATTCTGAATTGAGACTCTATCACGAATCTGCGATTAGAGGTATATGAAAATCACAAGTTTCCATCGTTCAAGTTTGAACCCCCTGATTGGGTATGAAAGTGTTGAAAAGGAATATTCTCAGATAAATTATGAACATACAAAAATGGATATATATTTATATATGTGATGAGAATATTTACTCTTTCTCAGTTGATTCAATAGAAAACAACTACTTTCCTGGCTATATGCCACGACGAACATTGAATTATATCTATTGAACACACATGATAAGAGTTTGAAAATAAAATATAAAAACTTCTGAAATTGAGAATTTGCATTCCCCTTCGGACAAAAATATGTATATGCACACATCATTCTGAATATTCAACAGAAAACAACTACTTTCCTGGCTATTTGCCTCGTCGAACATTGAATTATATCTGATGAACATTCAAAAGGAGGATATTATTCTTTATTTTTCATGTTCTCCTTTTGAATGTTCATCAGATATAATTCAATGTTCGACGAGGCGAATAGCCAGGAAAGTAGTTGTTTTCTGTTGAATATTCAGAATGATGTGTGCATATACATATTTTTGTCCGAAGGAGAATGCAAATTCTCAATTTCAGAAGTTTTTATATTTTATTTTCAAACTCTTATCGTGTGTGTTCAATAGATATAATTCAATGTTCGTCGTGGCATATAGCCAGGAAAGTAGTTGTTTTCTATTGAATCAACTGAGAAAGAGTAAATATTCTCATCACATATATAAATATATATCCATTTTTGTATGTTCATAATTTATCTGAGAATATTCCTTTTCAACAAAATAATTTGTTGGAATATTTGCTTTCTTGAAGTGAAGTTTCATCTCATTCAACAACATTTATAGTTGACATAAAACAAATTTTGTTGAAGCAACTATCATCTCATCGTTCAATCAATAATATGCATTTTGTCTATTCGACAAAATAAAATCAATTTTGACAATGATTAAACCAAATACAACATTATATTTTGTTGAGTCAACGATCATTTCATTGTGCAACACATCACTATCAAGGAATATGTTGTTATTTCAAACAAATTACTTTGTTGAACAAAATCTACAAATACATTATATCAAACAAATATTTTGTTGAATGATTATCTAGTTGCATTTTTGCCACCAGGTGGCGTTTCTTCCAACCGTCCTACGCTTGCCTCGATTGGGGTGTACATATATCTACCTAAAACATCCGTTTATATAATTACATTAGGCTGTCCTAGGATTTTTTATGACACCTATATAAGCTAAAAGTCTTGAATCAACTGAGGAAATTGATCTTTAATTCCTCTCAGTTTTGAAATTCAGTTATTGTTTTTTTTTTAATATTCAGAAAAATATTCTGGCAATTCTATATACGATTTGATTGATCGAACAATATATTTTGTTATTTCAACATATTCACTCTCTGAAAAACGGATAATTTTATCACTTGAATGAAATTAAATAATTTTTTCTACTCACATAACTAAAATGGCATTTAGCGTACGGATATGTACCATGCTAAATGATCGATTAATCACGGATTGTCGATCTGTGATTTATTCAAAATATTAAACACGTTACCATGGCAACACGATTTCTTAAACACATTACCATGGCAACGCAGTTCATTAAACACAGCTTCAGTAATTTGAGACATGTCTGGCCTGTCAATTGTATTAACTGTCAACTCATCTTCGAATTTTGTATCAGAATTATTCAAACAATATTCGTTTGTATCAGAATTCTTCATTGAAAATATATGCGAAAAGTAGACGAAAGTGAAATCGAAGAGAATGTTCTGGTACTTGCATATCACCAAGAAGTGTAAAAATGAAGCATCCATCTTTGAGAACAACTTATTTATTCTGCGCTAAGCATGACAATAAACGTGAAACAAAGGTTAGTAAGCAATGGACTGGAAACATCTACAACCAATATCACTTATACGTGTCTCGCTGGTTGCATGCAGTTGCATGTCTTATATTCTCAATTTCCATTCCTTTCGAATTATTTTTTGGGTTAGCAGGAATTGCAGGTATGATAATGTAATTTTCGGAGTTCGTAGAAAAATCATAGTATGTAACGCGTTTATAAACTCTTCTAGACACTCGTTTATTAAACACTCGCTCCGCTCTGCTCCGCTCGTGCTTAAACTACTCGTTACTAAAAGGACGTTTATAACACTTGTTACATAATATACTAATTTCAATCAACTGAATCGTTCATAAGAGTAGATATCATATTATAGGAACAAAATAGTCCTTGCATGTTTATTGAACCAATTCCTGCTGTTAATTTGAATCAACAATAAGTTACATCGAATGAAATTTGAATTGAAAACTGACAAAAAACATTTGTTGCGGTGACAAAATATTTTGTCGTGGATATATATGACACTCAGATTTTGTTGAATTTACAAAAATTTTGTAGTTTCAAACAATTTTTTTTCTGTGTATGTCTCCGTTGTTGGAGATTACTTTGTCAGGGAACATATTATCTGACAGACATTCGGTAACCCCTTGCGTTATATGGATGAGCTCAAGAATTCAACAGTTCTGGTCACTTATTCAATTGAACTGTCGAAATTCAGTTTGTTTAACACATTGATTGCCAAGCCCATATCTGGAGTTTATCCCACGGGGCCAAAGGTACATTTTAGTTCCATTCATGAATTTTCACTTCCAAAAATCAAGTTTGACCCTCAAAAGTCATTATTGATTTTTTTTTCATCCATTTTGTTTGTTTTTCGATGTCATTCATATATGAATGACGTGGCCTCCCATGTTAGCCTAAAGAGTTATTTCACCACGCTGGGCCACGTCATTCAAATATGTATGACGAATATGATGATTGTTTTTTTTCTACTAGCGTGCGAAAAAAAAAACACTTTTCCGCACCCATTTCAGTGTTGAAAGAGTCATTTTTCCGCACTAGTGCGGAAAAAACTCTCCACAGTGAAATGAGTGCGGAAAAGAGGAATTTATTTTTCCGCACGCTAGTAGAAAAAATAGTGTACCTAACACATGCGGAATAGTATCACTCTCCGCACTTGTTAGGTAAACAACTATTTTTCATTATTATGTAATATTAGTTTTACTGTTTTTACGATGAATAAACCTTTTCATATATGATTTTTGTATTTTATTGTCTTGCATCACGATCTATCAAAATTTGCTCTGGCCAAATATGCCTGTGACTTCCTTGGAGGCCACACATTCATATCCCCATCTGAATTGCATTGGCTATCATTCATATTCGTATGACACGGCCTAACAACAAAAATATGTCGTCATACATATATGTATGACGCGGCCTAAACGGAAGTGGTAGTGTCATTCACATATGTATGACGTGGCAATCAATGTGTTAACAGAACTGTTAAGCGTTCCTACCAT